TGAATTTGAGGGCCCTCCAGAAGCCTGAGTTGGTTTGTATTTTAGGTGCCAGTTGCGCGTTGAGCCTGTGAGTAGTGACCAGTGTGTGTTTTGGTTCTCTGGCAGATCAAGCCAGTCAGAACTCTGGTGAGGTTTTGTGTTAAAACCCCTCTGTTAGCACCTGGAGAGGGGTTTTTTTGTTTGTTGCCAGCCACCACACAAGGGAGGTGAAATACCTGCCCCCTCCCCAGTGCTGTTCTTCTGTAATTGATAGTACATATCGTGAGCATTTAGTAGTTCAAAGTCTCCTTTCAAGTAGTGAAGTGGTTATTGATTGATGCTCTGAAATTTAGACAAGAAATAACTTGTTTCTTTCCATCCAAATTTGAGCCAGTGTTGCCTGTACTCTTGGGTGACAATATTCAATACAGGTAAAATTCGCTTTCTCATGTACCATGATTTTTGTGATAGTTGATGAGTTTTCCAGGGGCTGTTACTTGTCCACTGCTTTGCTGTGTGGGTAAGGTGGTTACAGCTGTGGGAATCCTGAAAAATGGGACAGTAAGGAGTGCTGGCTATGAGACCACAGCAATTAATTTTAGAGTTGGTCTGTGTTGTACTGTGAGGTACTTGAAAGTATTTAAGTGTTAAAGGAGCTACCCATGGGAATGTGCAAGGTTTTAGAAATACATAAAGATATGCATTTTATCATAGTTTCTGTATTTTAGGGAATATCTTTTATTCCAGTAACAGAAGTACCTAATCTGATGTGTAGGTGAGATGAGGGGAAATCACATTCAAAAGGCCGGGAGGTTTTGCAGCCGGGTTTTGTTCTGCTGTCCTTCTCTACACCAGGAGAGGGCTTCGCTCTCCGAGTCTCCCTTACCAGCAAAGCTGGCTCAAGACGTGGACCACCTGTTAAAATGCGCCCAGCTCTTCCTGAAATTGCAGTTCCAGCGCTTGTCCACCCGGTGGGGTAAATCCATGGATCCACCCGAGGGCTGGAAGTTTACACGTAGCTTCTCACTGCAGTAGAGCAGCAAAGCACCTGCTGGATAAAAAACATTATTTCAACTGAAACGTCCAATTAATGTCGTTGATTTTTTTGAATAGGTGAGCCAATTAGCAAAATTCAACGCTACTTTGAAGCAAGGCAAATATTTTATTTTTTTTCTGGCTTGAGTTCAAAAGCCCTTTCCCAGTTCCTACTTTTTAATAGGTTTTGACTGACAAGAAATACCACCCTAAACCAAGCAATATAAAGAGATTTGCTGCCTTAAAACTCACAGGTTGAGGGGTTTGTGAATTCAGTGGTGTCTGCAATCCTCAGCTGTCTGGCTCCTGCAGTGTGCAGCTCCTGGACTGTTATGGAGATTGGTGTTAATTGTCGTGCGGGTCCGGAGGGGTTTGGTGCTGCAGAGAGTGTGCAGTCACTGTACTAAAGTGACAAATGGTTGTTTGGTCCCTGCTGCCCTCAGGTACACCAGAAGGACAACTGACAAGAGATTCTTCACGGTTTTAATCCTCCCTTTGGCAGGTTGGTAGATCACCCAGAGACAGATGCACAGCGCTTAAATCTGCTGGCTCTTGAGCTGCGTGGCTGGTGCCTGCCCTGCCTGAGCCAGTTTGTCTCCAAAGGTAGGACTGTGTGGCTGTGGTTTGGGTTACTGTGCACATCTGGCAGCCTCAACCCTTGCCCAGAGCTGCCCAGCAGCAGCCTTGCCTGGCTGGCAGAGATGTCCCCTTGGGTTGTTGCTGGTGTTGAAGAAAATGGAGTGGCTGGTCCAGCTGTGTGAGTGAAGGTCAATCTGCTGCAGGTGTGTGTTGTTACAAGAGCAAAAGAAAAAGCCTCTGAGCAGAGGACTTAGTGTTTGTCAATTTAGACCCTCACCTGTGTGCAGCTCTCCTACATGGTTTAAGTTCTGCATTTTAAATCTCTAGCACTAAGACTATTCCATATAAGAAGGGAGATTTCATCTCATCCCCCTTGGTGTCTTCCCCGAGTGCTTGTACTGTGGGAGTAGCTCACCCACAGGATGCAGTTTGAGGGAAGAGAGAGAGGCGAGGGTCAGGCTGAGAAGAGGATGTTGGCATGTTAATGAGAAGCAGCGGGCAAGATTTGGGCTTCCTGTGGCTTCAGGCAGCAACCCCAGGCCTGCCTTCAGAAGCAGCCTTTTCATGTCGCTGCCCTTCATGCTGCCCTTCAGTGGGACAGCTTCCCAAATATGGGCTTGCTGACTTTCTGACCAAAATAGCGGCTGCGTGACAAAATGCAGCACAGAGGAACGTAACCTTAATCCAGGCATCATTGTGTAGCGGGAGACAGGAATTTTGTGAACTTCCACAGCAGGTCGGTGTCAGGTTTGTTGTTGTCTGCTCCCTGCACACATGGTGGTCCCACGGGACACTACCCTGACATCAGCTGACCACCTATTGGACTTTCTGACCCTGTGACAGCTCAATTCATGGCTTCCCTCCTTGTCGTACAGGTTGCCCGAGCCCAGAAGGAAAACCTTCGAAGGGGAGTCTGTGCTGACATCGCCTTGTGATGAGTCTTCCTCTTTTTTTTCTTGCATTGTGAAATCATTTAAGTTCTGTTGGTGAAGTGAGGCTGGAGATCCGTTTTAGGAGCATTACATATACAGAGCCCAGGAGGGGGAACTAGCAGCTGTGGCCCACTTGATACTATTCCCATTATGCAGAGCTGTGTCATCTTTGACATTTAAAAACTTCAAAACTCTCGTGATTAAGTGCTTGGTATCCTGCAGGAAGCCAAAGAGCTTGAGAGCATCTCAATGCTTAATGACTCTTAGACATCTCGTGCTTGCTGCTGCTGTACATCATACTTGCTGCAGATGATTTCTCCCCTGTGCAATTAAGAGGACTCATATCAAGTTTCCAGTTTGGCTCCTTTCTTTGCTTCGATTTGAAAAAAAAAAAAAAGAGCAAAGGGCACGTAACCAAATACTGAATCAGCTCATTTGGCAAAAGTAGAGCCATCACGGTGAAAGCCAAGAGCACAGAACTGGGGAGGAGAAATCAAAGCCCTGTGAAATGCTCTGATGGGGGACAGCTTTCACTGGCAACGTTGATGTTCACCATGAAAATGAAAAGTAGGGCTGGATACATGTCCCCCTTTATCGCCTTTCAATAGTGTAGTCAAGGAAAAGCAGCAACAGAACATGAGTTCTGCTTTGCCCAGGTTTCAAGGCTGTTGCAGGTGTTCCTACACCACAGTGGCTTTGGCATGGTGGAGTGTTTATCCCATGTACCTTAGCTCATGTTACATTGCCACTGCCCTGGTGGCAGATTTATGGCTGTAAGCAAGATGCAGAGGTTTCATTAGGGCAGTGTGTACAAAATTTCCTCAGATCTTGCTGCAGTCACTTGGTTCATATAGCAGTTTTATTGAGGGTTGAAGAGAGGCTTCAAATATGGTGATAAAGCTGAAAACCTGGGCAGAAATTAAATCTACTGCCAGTAAAGGCAAGCAGATCAAATGGCCTGGGAACTGTGGCTCTGTCCAGTTGCACAGATACATGGACTACTCAGGGTGGTTGTCATTCATCGTTAGCACATCCCCCTCTGTGGGGGCTTCAACCAGGCCAGTCCTCTTCTAATGACTGTTTTTTCAGCCAGCTCACCCACTCACCGGCCTGTCATGTCATGTTACATTCCTCGTGCAGTTGTTCCCGTGTTTTAGCCAACAGTGAAATCCACCCACAGCTCCTCACCCTGCAGCATTTGCTGTCTGGCTCTGGGAGGACAGTCAGTGTGTTAAGGCAGACCGGCCTGGCAGCAGTTTTCGTGGCTCCCCGCAGGGCGTGGTGACCTGCTGGCACCTCTGCTCTAAGGACTGAAAAAGCCTAAATAGTCCCAGTGTTTCTGCTCTTCTAGCGACAAATTTCAGCTGCTACAAGACCTTTGTCCTCTCTCCCCAGCCGCAACCTTCTCTGTTTTACTCTCAGAAAAGAGTAAAGGCAGCCAGTGAGGCCGTGGTGTGCTGCTACCTGTGCCATTGAGCCAAGGGGGGAGAGACAACACACAGAGGCAGGTGGCTCTTTCCAGTCATCCTTTTCCCTGGGTCACAGCGCAGTCCAAGCCACCAAGCTGACTGAAGGAAAGGGGTTAACCTTATTTCTTCTCTTCACTCTTCAGGGATCCAAACCCTCTCAGTAAGCAGTAGAGAGTATCTTGGAGAAGTCCTTTTTGGATGTTGGGATTTGGACAGGACAGAGGAAGATAATGGGGCTTTCAGTGATGCCTGATGTGATGTGAGTGCAGGAGTGGGTTGCCATGGGCTTGATGGCCGTGGGTGTGGGGACAGCTGGTGTCACCTTGGCTTGTGGGTGAAGCCCAGGTATTTGCAACTCTCTGGAGGTTTCCATCTCGGGTAAAACACTTCTCAGCTGTGTCCTCATAAGCAGGTCTCAATGGGAAATGACTTCTGCTGCTACGCTGGGGAGGTGGGTGTTTGTTTTTGATCTCTAGGCTACAGATTCATTTGGAACAGAAGACTAACACCTGGGAGCATTTCCTATCACAGAATTCTTAGCACATTTCCATGTCTGTTGGTTTCTGGTGCACCTGGAGTCCTGCTGAATCCGCAGTAGCTATGGCATTGAGGGCTTGGGACTCTCGGGGAGACCCCTCTGGGCACATCAACCAATATTTGCATTAGGGGTCTTCCCAAAATACCCTGGGTTTAAGGATAATCAGCTGATCTAGCTGACAGGTTAATTTTCTGTTTTCCTGGTGTTACAAGCCCTGGTTGAGCAAAAGATTTAGTGCTTGTTGTCCAGAGGAAAGACGCAGCCATGTCCTTCCAAACAATCAACAACCACTCTCAGGCCTGTTTTCACCTCAGGCCCGTTTGTCCTGAATTACAATATTTCATTATTGCTTTAAATGCGAGTGAGTGTCACAGCAAATACAGCTGCTCAGGGTGTTATTTCCACGGAGAGGGGAGAAAAAGCTGGTTTGTGAGAAAGGCAGAAGGACAATGCAGTGGACGTGGGGCACTGGCACGTGGCAGCATGGCCACCCTGGGCTGAGGGCAGCATCGCCCTGACACGGCCTCCTGCCTTGCCCTGCCAATGTTTATTTTGCTTGGGTAAACGTTTGATTTTAGCAACACGACTGCAATGTGTGAGTTGTGCTGGGGCTGTAATTCGATGGGAGGAGGCAGCTATGTGCAGGGAGAGCTGCTAATGCCGAAGGAATGCTGCGCTTCCTCGGGACCAGAGAAGATGGCGCCTGGGGCCCCTGGGGACAGCTCAGCTCCTTGGCCCTGCTGTCACCCTGCGCCCGGGAGCTGAGACCCAAAGTGGGGTCTTGCCTTGCTCAGGGCCCTTGTGGCCCAAATGGATGTGATTTCTGAGGGAAAACTGGGTGTTTCACTTATTGCAATGAGGCTCCCACCCAGGACTGGAGGAGGGCTATGAGGTGCCGTGGGGCTCCTGACCAGGCTGGGTCAGACAGGAAGGAGGCACCCAGTCAAGCTTAGGAATGGCTTTTATTCATGTTTCCAAGGAAAATTGAGGTCTTCTTTCTGCATGTGCCACAGGGTGACAATCAGGATGGCAAGACGGGGTGTCCTGTCAGGACAGCAAGGTGAGAGTAGGGAGGAGAGGTACTGTCCCTCACCCATGGATGTCAGTGATGGCCTAAGTGGTTTGTAATTCACATTTCTTTGCTAAAATGCTGCTGATGCTCCAGTTAAGCCAGCAGGCACCAGTGCCAGCTCCTGAGCCTCCTCACCATGGCAGGGGTGAGGAGATGACAGCTCCCCACTAAGCAGATGGCCCTGTTGGATGGACTTTGTCGCTGGGCTGGCAGCAAAATACCTCCTTGGAGAATTAAAGCTCCAGCTGTGATGTCACCTTGCCAGAAGTGGCCCCCAGGAGTGACCCCATTAGTCATGAGCACACGACTGGGGTGAAGCTGTCACTAAACCTCTAAGGAAAGACCGTCTGAGGCACTGGGTATTAACAGGTTTTATTTCCCCCAGCCACCCTTCTCAGCACTCAGTCTTCATGCCAGTAGCCAGGGGATTTAAGTGAAGGAGATGAGATGCAGAGCTGGAGGGGTTTAGGAGATTCAAGCTGTCCATCAGGCCTCAGATTTATTCAACCCCCTTCATAAACTCCAGGAACTCTGCCAAGGGGAAGACATTGGAGACAAGAGGTGTGAGGTGAGACCAAAGTGCCCTCGCAGCTGCCAAGTGCGCTCTTGGCAGTTTTCCCCAGCCCTGTCTCCTTTTCCAACCCCCCAGCGTGCAAGAGGCCGAGGGTGGATGGCTACTGCTCCTCTGACTGTGGCGAGGACTCCTCGTGACTCCTGCTGGAAATGTCACTGGAGCCCTGCGTCACCCTCGGCTGCCACCAAAACACTGGAGGTGAGTGTCCAGGGGAGGGACACAGGTGCTGACTCAGCTTGGAAATGGTCTGGGGGTTGTTTTGGCAGCATCACATTCAAAATTATGGCATTTTGGAAATGGTGCTTGTGTTGAGAGGGTAGGAGGAGACAGGCAGGTCTCTGGCAAAAAGTGGCAGTGCTTCAGTGCAGGCTGGCTTTCACAGCATGGGGACAGTGAAGGCAGCCCCAGGTTCCTGCTACCATTTCACAAGCATAAGAAACCCCCCTATCCCTCTGCACACACACTGCTGTCAGACATATTGCCCAGCAGTGTCTTCATGAGCTCATGCCCATCCAAGAAGGCAACCAAGACCGTGGGAGCTGCCCAGGGCTCCCTCAAGGGCTCGTGACCAAACCACATGCAAGAAAGTCCTACCATCATAGTCAATCCTGCCATCATTGTTTTTATCCCCATCTTTCATCAGTTCTTCTATGTCATCCTCGGTGATGGTCTCTCCTGTCGCCTGCAGCATGATCTTCAGCTCCTCGAGGTCGATGTAGCCATCAGCGTTTCTGTGAGGGGACAGAAGAGCTCAGGAGCAGACAGACACACTGGGGAGAGGGAGTCGGGGTGGTTGCACCCCTCCCAAAACCCTGCCACGGTCATAGCTCTTACTTATCAAACATCCTGAAGAGGTCTGAGAGTTCCTCTTCGGTTTTTCCTTTGCTGTCATCTTTCATACACCGGACCATCATAACAAGGAACTCATCGAAGTCTACGGTGCCACTGCCTGCAGGCAGAATAGACACCATCAGCTGGTGCCACGGTGAGTGGATGGGCAACACCAAGGAGGGATCACACTTCCCTTTGGCAACCAAGAATCAAAACACAGGAGAGCAGCTCTGCAGCAAGAGGCAGTTTTCAAGACATGGGAGGCCCTGCTCTGACTTCATCACTGAATTTTTACCTTTTGCAGTCTTTTTGCCTTGGCAAAAATCCTTTTAGAAGCACTGATGAATGGAAATTCCTGCTATGGAGGTACCTGTCCATCTCACCCAGGTATTAATATTAAAAGCTCCAGAAGGCAAGTATTCATGCCAGTGTGGTTTTGCACCCACAGTACAGTACTGTTGTTTTCAATGAGACAGCTGTTTTCCTTTTCTGCCTGATTTTTAACTGCTTTTTTTATTTTCCAGTTATTTAGTATGTTATTTCTGCCCAAATGCACATGGTGGATTTTGTTACGTGTGATCACCAGTACACTGATTTAATCAATATTGACAGTTAGTTATGTGGGGTTGTGTACACTCGAGCAGTGAGAGACTTTCCTGATGATAGAATCCTGTAACTGTGGCACTTCTGAAATGGTAGTTTCTACATTCAGCCTACATTTTGTTTTTTAAATGGATCTATGCAATTTCAAAGTACCCCCTCAAAATCAGTTCAAGTAGTCTGATCATTGTAGGAATAATAATTTTTATAGTTTCTCTTTGCCTGAGAATTTCCTAAAGGAAAAATGCTGCAGTTTGGTGGGTGTTTGGTGTCCTTTGAATTCTCAGCACAGCAGGTTGCTCCCTACAGCTGTGACTCCCCAGCACGGGTCCTGCCAGTGCTGCACAGATGCCCCCATATCTCCAGATGTGGGGATGGTGCTTGGGAGAGTGGAAGAAACCCAAATCTCTCACCGTCCTCATCCACCTCGTCTATCATCTCCTGCAGCTCCTCGGGGGTGGGGTTCTGCCCCAGCATCCGCATCACCTTCCCCAGCTCCTTGGTGCTGATGCAACCATCCTCTGCCCCCGACACGAAGATGTCAAAGGCAGCCTTGAACTCTGGAGAGAGAAACAGAGAGAGAGGAGATGTGGGGGGATCTTGTCGTGCACCTCGACCCTGCAGACAGGTGGCCTTGGGGGCAGGGGGCTCATCCCAAGCACAGCCTCCCCCCCCATGCCCCTCAGCACTGCCCAGGCATGGCATGGTGGGACACACACATAGCCTTGCTTGAAATCCTGGTGGATCAAGATCCCTGGGTCATGTCCTGCCCTGGCCAGTCTGACCAAAGCATTTTCCAGACTGTCATTGCTGAGGCAGGGGCTGGGGAGTTTGGTGTCAGGTTCAAGATGCACCTACCATTTTTTTGCTCTTCTGTCAGCTGCTCAACCTGCAAGGAAAACACAGAGACCAAGTAATTTTTCTTTGTCAGCATCACTGACAGGACACATTATTTTTTCAACAGCCTTTGCAAAGATCAGCCAAGTCTCACAACAGTCATCCTCGTGTATTAGGGGATGTACAGCCAGTGGGGTTTTGACACCACAACTTTTTGTCTAAGAGATTATTCCCCTTAAAAAAACAATTATTCCCATCTCCTTTGAATCAAGCATCCCTTCTCTAGAGTAGCAGCTCCTACTACATGGTAGAAATAGCCTTTGCACAGGCAGGGGAGTCCCACTGGGAAAAAGAATTTGCCTCCATCAACCATTTGGGATAATTTCTTTTTGCTGGCAGGCTTCACCACGGGATAGCTGCACTGCTGAGGGCTGCTCACATGTGGGCTCTGCCCAGGTCAGAGGTGGGATGTGCTTGAGAGGTCCCTGGGGAGGGAAAGGTGGACAAGACCATTCCCAGCAGTTGTTTTTCAGCCCTAGATTCAGGAAACTGCCTGCACTACCTAGAGCATTAACTGCTTTACTTCCATCTGAGTCAGTGTTATTACAAAGGGTCTTGACTCTGAAGAGGACTGCTATTTCCTTTAGCCTGTTTTGGGAATCTCCCTGAAGAAATGGCCTGTGGAGCCATTAGGCATTAGCTGAAATGGACTGGCAGATTGTTCCTAAACTCTGCCCTAATTCAATCCCCTCAGACCATCAGTGGGAGCTCATTAGTTAGTATGAATTAACAAAATAATCACTAAGGAGAGCAAAGAGGAATCAGTCAGCTCTGTGCCATACCTGTCTAAGTGCATTTCTCTCTTTGGCTTCATTCCTGCCTGCAGGTACTGCTTACCTAAAATTGCTGACCTCACCACCGTGTCCAACTGCCCCTTTTACAGCATCCATGAAAACACTGACCCTTCCTATGCTGGTCAACAGCCTCTCTGGAGCCAGCCAGGTATGACCCCCCACCTGCACAGAGGGTGTCTGACCTCTCTAAAGTCTCTTTGCTGCCATCCCAATGCAAACAGTCCCCAACACCCATCCCTGCCATGTTTTGGTTGAGGCAAAACCCCACGATCCCGGGTTGTGGCACCTTGTCTTTGAGGGAAAGCTGAGTCTTTTGACCCCAAAGAGCAATGGTTTTGCAAAAGCCAGCTGGAAAACCTTCCTACTTGCAGCAAGAGGCAGGGAAAGTACTTTTCCTTAGCAGGACAGAGCCCGTGGGAAGCAGGCAGAGAGCCTTTAACCTGCTCCCTGTGCACCAGGAGGTGAAGACTTTCAAGTCAGGAAGTGCAAAGGGCAGTGGCAGGATTTTCCTCCACTGCTGGAGGAAACCCAAGCCCACTTTGTCCCTGGTGCTGCTGAAGGCAGGCAGGCAGCAGCCAGCCCTCAGAGGATATTTTTTGGGCAGAGCAAGGGCAGCAGCCACACTCCCTTGGCCCCACAGCCACCATCCTGCTCCGTAACATGACCCTCTTGGGGCAGTCACTATTTATAAGCCTGGGTGAGAGGTGCTGGAGATAAAGATGAGCTCCCCAATTGTTCCCAGGCTTTGGAATTTATCCTTGCAGCCCTTTATCTGGACACTCGTCCCTGGCACTGTTCTAAGCACCGCTTAACAGAGCCTAAAAATGTTCCCAAAATAGCTTTGGGTTTGCACACCCTTATCTAGGCATGAGTGGGCAAGATGAAAATCCATTGGGTTCTCTGGCTGCATGTAGGGAATTTGGCATAAATATGATATTAATATATGCCATCAGCATGTGGAAAATACAAAAATATTCACTTTTGAAGCTTCCTTGACTTCTGAAGTGATAGATGTGGTGTATGTAAATTAAATGCGTTGTAACTACAGAGCGATATTTTTATCATAGAGATGTCTCTTGACCTGTTCATAGTGCCCTCTGGACATGGGTGCTGTTTGCAGATTTATTCCTCTTTTCCCTCCACATCATTGCAGGGACAGGTTTCTCTGGCTGAAATGTGGGAAGGCAAGCTCTGAGCTCGGAGGTCACAGCACTGCAGCAGCCGTGGTAACACCAAATCTTCTGTATTTTGCTTTTATCAGCTATCCTCTCCATCTATCCCACGGTTCCATTTGACGTCAGATAGGGGAAATTGAAATTCTTCAAATTTTTTTTCCAGGTAAATGTTTTCTTATAGTTAAAACTGTGGGAAATAGATCCACAAAAATGCTGTTTGTCTCAGCTGTGCCTGGCTTGGACTTGTTTTGCCTCTGTAAAGGTGCTGGCAGTAAATGCCCAGGACTCAAGTCTCACATTTACCTAATTATGGGCATGTGGTCCCTGTACAATGAGGAGAGGGCCGATGCCTTGAGTCTCAGAGAACGTATTCAATTCAAAACCTTCATTAGAAAAGCCTGGATTTTCTTTGATTTTACAGGTTCCATTTTCCTCCCTTTTGGAGGTGGTGGTTGAGGGACTCAGCCTTCCCTGAGCCTTTTCACACTGTCAGGATCACTACGGGGGTTCCATTTAACGAGGTTCAGGGCTGATCAAAGGACCAGAAAGGTGTGAGCATTGAGGGGTTTTTTCTTTAACTACCTACCAAGTGCTATATTCCTTCCCTCTAAAAAGCTCGTAATTAAAATAGGACTTGTATGATGTATTTTTTGTGCCTTGGTTAAAATCAAAGCTGGTCAGCTACAAACTAAAAAAAAATTTAAAAAAGCACCAAAAAGCTCTTAATGTAACTCCAGTTTTGGAAGGGATGCAGTAGCAATCCACACAATCCAGAATCTATTTTCATCCTTATTCCACATGCACATCACTGTCTGTCTACATTACAGAATAATGCAGTGTTCGTATTACAGACCAAATAGTTTGGGTTTACACAGAGAGTGCAGCATGCAGCTGTGGAAGTTAAAATAGCCATGAGGATGCTCCACGTTCCCCAGTGCATAGCTCACATTCTGGATCGTGCACAGCAGATAGCAGGAGCAGCAAAGCTGAGGAGAAGGTTTTGACATAATTTAGAAAAAACAAGGGTTTTTATAAATCGCTCCAAAAAATATTCAGCTAAGGAGGGGGAAAACATAGCAATTGCTAGAATTATAAAGTACCAGAAAGAAGAGGCTGAGGTTTAACCCATAAAAATAATGTTTCTTTCCTGGGAAATGCTGCTCTGCTAGGTCTGGGCTAAAACTAGCAGCCACCTCTTAAAGTTTGAGTGTTTGGTTGAGATCTGTAACTTCACCTGTGAGGCATCTCCCTGCTTTACAGCAGGGAAACAGGGGACTACTTGTAAATAATTTAGCAGCACTGTTGAGAGTTTCACACTTATAAAAGGAGTGTGAAACCTCCAGAGCCATCAGCGAGAAAGGTCTGTGTGTCCTGGATGAGGATGTTGACTAAAAGTTGCTGCCCTATAATTATTTCTTATTTGCATTTCTCGATTGAATTAAAGCTATCAAGGCTTTGGGGAATCTACTACAAAATCCCCAAAAATCCCTTTAGACCCCTCTCCCCAAACCACAGCCCCAAAGGGAGGCACTTACCGCTGCCTTATAAATGTCATCCATGGCTGGAGAGGGCGGGTGAGGGTCCGGGGGATGTCACGGTCACACTCTGCTGGCTCTGCCCCCGCTGGCCCGGCTGATATAGGGGGCTGCCCGCCCCGGGGGCTGGGACCAGCCCACCGGCAGCCCCGTATGCCCGGCCCCACAGGAATGCCTCGCCTGCATGCCTTGGGATGGGGACACCGCCGAGCCCGAGGCTGGCACGTCCGGGGCCAGCCCCAGCCCCGCTCCGGGGGCAGCTGGAGTTTTCCTCGTGACTTTGTTGTGGGAACAAGCGAGCACTTTCAGCCAGTGCTGCCGAAATTGCTGATATGTAGCGGTACTTAGCTCTCCTGACTGGACATGTGCCACCATGTCACCTCCACCTCCAGCGTGTTCCCCCTGGAAGCTGCGATACGGAGATCATACTGTGCCTAATTGAATTGGGCGATACGGGAAAGGCATGTCTCCCAAAATATCCCTGTCTAGCAGCAAATGTGCCTCCGGGGCAGTGGGAACAGAGGGTGTCAGGGCCCCCTGTCCCCTCTGCCTGGTGTCCCCAAACCCATGGAGGACAGGCAGCCAGGGCTGATGTCCTGGGAGGAGCTGATGCCATGTGTGGGTGGGTGCCAAGGATAGGGGGAATTTGCACTCCCAATGCCACGGAGAGAAGTGTGGAAGCAGATGGAGCTTTGCCTCAAGCTCCTGTTTGCAGCTGGGGCTGAAAATCGGGGGGGATCAGTTACCAAAAAGAGAGGTATCAACTCTGCTTGATTTCAGGGATAATTCCTGGTTTTTTAGGAAACTGGGACTCACTTCACCCAACCAGCAAGATGACCTGTCCCCACTGCAAATGGCTAAAATTCACACTCCTGGATTTACCGTGGATTTACCCCTCCACGGTGGAAAGCAAAACACACCAAAAACCTCCAAGTGATGAGCAGCGTTTTCTCAGTCCGGGAAAAAGCGATTTAATCCAGCAACAGAAGTCAAACCTCTCCTTTTAGTGATTCAGGACTCCCTCTTGTGTCCAGAGGGGCTATGGATGGCTCCAGCACCTCAGGATACAAAGTCCCACCCCTAGCTGGCTCATACCAGCGTTAGTTAGCAAAACAGAAAATAATATTGGTGCAGCTGTTAGGTTTCATCCTTTCTAAAATCCCTTCTCCGTTTAAGAGGAATCATACTGCGTGGAAAAACCTGCTGTCCCTGTGGAATTCCCAGCCAAAGCAGCTTTAATCAGAGACCCTGCTGGTGTCAGCACAAAGTGAGGACATGGGTGAACACAGAGCTGTCTCCACACCACATCCTCCCAGGTTTTGAGTCCTGAAGGATTAACTTGTTAGGAACTGTGGTCCTGTGGGTACCCACTGGCCTTGATTTACACAGCTGCAGCCCAGATCTGCCTCCAGATGGAATAGCAAGGAAAATAGTTGCGTTTAAGGAATTAATTTTTGAAGCAGTTAGTCTTGAGAATTGGAACATGTTAATATTTTGGTTGCCTTGAACACAGAAGAAGCAGGAAAAGCTGCAAAGGGAAGTAGTTATTTTGTTAAAGCACATTGGATCCTGTCCTTAGGTGAGGGCACAGGACGGGATGAAGGACCTGCTGTCACCCACAATTAAATCATCCCTCAGAACCTCCTGGGCAAGCTCATAGAGACTTTCCCAGTGAAGTGCTGCCCCAAAGCAAACCCATGCCCCTGGCTGCTTTCTCCCCTCAGGATTCACTGCAGGTGCCAGCACTGGGCAGTACAAGTGTGAGGAATCACGCCTGGCCCTGGCCCTCTGTCCTGGGAGGTGATGGCTCTGAGTCACCCCTCTGAAAACAGCCCCTGGGATGCGTCAGAATGTATCCAGGGCCAATGTAGAGCGGGAATGGGAGCTCTAACATGGCCTTTAAAAGGTTGTGGCTGCGCTGCTGGAGCAGCTGGGTTGAAATTCAGGTCGGGATGAGGAAGAAGGGTCTCTGTCTGCTTAGAGGAAATCTGGGCCACTGCCACCATACACACTGACGTGGGATGGCTGCACTTCTGCAAATGTCTGATACGAACAGGGACTTACAAAACAGAGCTGTGCCTGGAGGGAAAGGATGAAATCCATCTGGTGACAGGAGATGATGTTCCTCCCAGGGAAGGAGGCACAGGCGAGGGGCATCGTGCCAACTGCTGCCTCCTCGCCTGCTGCTTGGAGCCAAAGCTTCCAGCATCCCCTGTCTCTTCGAAGTTCTTTGCTTACAAAAGAACTGGTGTTTTGTAGAGAAACCCAGAGCCTCTGCCATGCACAGGGCAGGGGGAGGAAGCTACAGGTATGGAGTGTCCTGGGAATAACCATCCGCTCCTGCTGCTTCTCTTGCCTCTCTGTGTGAGACCCAGGGCAGAGATGGAGCGTGGCTATCTATAGCCTGGGGAGGGCTGCCAGCTCAAGTGCCCTTAATCCGGGCATGGCTGGCTCGGTGGCACGCCAGCTGTCACTGTGGTCAGGTACAGCATGTCAGCCTGGGCTCCAGCTGCACCCTGACACGCTGCCACACTTGTCAGTCAGTCTAAGGTACCAAGACAAACAGAAGGTTTTACTGTGCTTTTTTCCTCCAAAATCTCGGATTAGGTTTGCATTTCCAAGCAGCTGTAATCCAGGGCAAAACTCGCAGAGGCATCCTTCAGGTCAAATGCAGGGAAATACAAAGCAGAAGCCCAACTAAGATGCAATTTTGTTTGGGGTCAGGGCTGTTTGCAAGGCTCCTTGGTTTCTGTTGTAGTTCCAAGCTGCAGCAAAACTCTCCAGCATCCCCCTTCCCTGCATCGGGCACTGGCCCTAGGAGAAGCCAGACCCACACCATTGAAGTTCTTTAATTCACTGCTTCCTAAATTCACCTCAGAGACTTTTTGCTGAACAAGCCCCCATTTGCCCCCTTTCATCTTCTCTGTGAGCCAGGACAGGGCTGTCACACCAGGAGCCACCTCTGTGCCTGCAGGCAGGAACTGCTTTAGGAGGAGGAGAAGGGAACTGATGGCAACCGACAGGCGCGCCAGTGCTGCAAATTGTTATTTAATTAAGGAGACGGGACATTGAGAGGAAGCTTAATTAAAGTTGCTCTCCAAACCCACTTATTATCTCATGAAGAGGCTGAGCTCAGCAGCAGCTCCTGATGCTGGGACAGCAACAGAAAATCCCTCTTGGTTTGCCTGCACTACATGTGTTTTCTCCTGGCACACATCATCCTTCGGCTACATCCTGACCAACAGAAAGCATTTTTCAGTGAAAATAAAATCAAAATGGGTTTATCCAGCTCCATTTGCAGAGGTGTATTTGCTCATCTGCTACCCTGGTCCTGGAGGCATCTGCCAGACACCAACATGGGCTCTGCAGGTCCATGCATCCAGCCAGGGCATTTGGCACTTCTGGTGTTATTAATGACACCATACTGAGCTAATTGCATCCTCTCTGAGGTAGCATAAGGAAGGACAGAGAGGTGTCACCTTCATTTTGCTGGAAGGTCCTTTTTTTCCCCCAAATCTCCTGTGACTTGATGGTCCATAGTGAAATCCCTCCATCTATAATGTAGTGCAGAATTTCTTCCAAAGCACTGATGGATGCTTGATGCATCCCTCTGCCTAAAATATAACCTTTCTAGATAATCTTTCAATCTTTTAACAGAGTCAGAGACTCCTAAAAAGCTCGTATCTTCTCTCCACCTCAACTTTCCTTTCCTGGTGTGCATACTGAGCCCAGCAGAAAGGTTGCCACCCTGTGACACCCCCTCAGGGCAACATGGATTCATGGGGAAAAGGTTGAGGAGGGTCTGTTCCCCATCCTTTAGCTTCTCTGTTACAAGTTCCACAAATTCCTGGCAAGATCCCCTTAGCATGCACGGGCTTGAAATACTTCCCTGTGCTCTGTGGGACAGTGCACTGAGGCAAGCCAAGTCCATGAGGCCAGTGAAACACCCAAAACAACATCCCACACCCCAAGTTCACAGTGGGCTCACTCCTGAGGTCTGGCCCATCAGCTCCTCAGCTTTGGCTTTGGGGTGGCATCAGGCAGATCAGTCACAGAACCACTGCAGTGGTGTCTTGGCCCAACGTGACAGCGCCCAAGCTTTCAGCAGCCCTTGGTGGCCACGGATCTGTGCCAGAGCCTGCCTGCAGCTGGGGACTGCCAGCACTACCTCCAGCTGCAGATGGTCATGGAGCAGCAGCACTGCCACAGCTCTGCGAGGGAGCTCAGCCCTGGGCAGCTTTGCACTGCACGGCATTGGATTGCACTGGATTCGGTTGGATTGCACTGGATTGGGTTGGATTGCACTGGGTTGGGTTGGACTGCATCACATAACATTCCATTGGATTGCATTGCACTGGATTGCATTGGATTGGGTTGGGTTGCACTGGGTTGGGGTGGGTTGCATTGCATTGCATTGGATTCCATTGGATTCCACGGGATTCAATTAGACCGGATTGCATTGGATTCTATTGGATTCCACTGAATTGCAATTGCACTGCATTGGGTTCCACTGGATTCCACTGGACTGCATTGGCTTTCATTGGGTCGGATTCTATCGGATTCCATTGCAATCCACCGCTCTGGGCAACAGCGAACACCCGTGCAGACCCACCGCGCATGCGCGTCCCGACACACGTAACCCCGCCTCCCCGGGCCATGGCCCCGCCCCTACAGCGCCAGACCCCACCCCTAGAAGCAAGGCCCGCCCCTCTATTGAAGCCCCGCCCCTCCCCGCGCGCCCATAAAAGGGCTCGGGCGGGGCCCGCCGCACCCTGAGGGGGTCGGTCCAAGATGGCGGCGGCGGCGGCAGCGCGGGCCGGGCGGGCGGCGGGTGCGGGCGGCGGCGGCCGCGGGGGAGCCGTGACGGCCTGAGCGGCCGCGCCCCGGCGCTTCTCCCGGCGACATGGAGGCGGCGGCGGGAGGCGAGGACGGCGAGGAGCCCCCGCGGGAGGCCCGGGTCCTGGGCTCCGAGCTAGTGGACACATACACGGTGCGGGGCCGTGCGGGACGTGCCGGGGCGGAGCGGGGGAGCGGGGCCGCCGCCTCAGCGGGGCCGGGGAGCGGGGGAGGCCGGGTCTCACTGCCAGGGTATCTCCGGCAGCAGCGCCCGGGCAGGAGCTGTGCCCACGCTGAGCACGGAGCCGGAGACGTTTGGCACAAGTTTCCGAGGGGTTTTATGCGCCGTGCCCGGGGGAAGGAGCCGCCTGGGAGCGGGGGCTCAGCCGGGAGAACCGGCCCCGAGCTCCGCGGAGCCTTGGTCCGGTGGGAGAGGTGGAGGCTGAGCGAGCGAGCGTCGTGTTCTTGCCCATATATATCTGTGTATATGTGCGTATGTTTATGGAAGATTGCTGTCGAGTGAACGTAGCTTTCAAAGCTGGACTACACATAGGAAATCCTTCCTTCAGAGGGCAATATCCCTCTTGTAAAGCTGATCTTATTTTCAGAGGAAAACAGATGATTCGGGATGGATAGTTTTAATCTCACCCCACCAAAAAAAAAGAAAAAAAGGCTGATTGTCAGCAGTATTCTTGTTGGGGAAGGAATGGTATTTTTGATGTATAACTTGTTTTTGTCTGGTTGCATCCTACCAAGAGTTAATTGGTCTGTTTTTCAGGAAGAAGCTCATCATAAAACAAACCTCAGCATAATTGCAGGCAGAATATGCCTTGAGCACACCACCCTTTAGTTATATAACTAAAAAATGTTTTCTGCTTCTGCCTTATTTTAGTGTAAATTTTTTTTTGGTAGAATACACATGATGACATCAGGCTTCTTCCTGCTGTAGAAACCTAAAAGGAAAAGGTAGCAATGTTCTAGAAAGGCAGCATTTAGAAAGTTGTGTGATGGTTATAAGTAATGCTTTATGTTCCTGCCTCTTTAGAAGTACCCAGAGAAAACAAAGCAACAAGAAAGTGATTTCTGAGTTGTTAATAGGACAGAGCCTTTGCACAGCTGTAGCACATTAAGGGCTGAACTCCCTCCCAGGTGACAGCCCTTGAAACGTGATTTTGTGGGAATGACTGTCAGGTGTGAGTTGCATATTTACAGCCAAAAATGTCCTGATCGTTCAGTGAAGGAGTTGGTTAGAAGCTTAACACAAGTCTTTGAGCGTTGTCTGATCTCTTTCTGTCGGATGCATGATGTGTATTGACAGAAATACCACTGCTGGGGAGTGTCACCGATGTGTGTTAGGATGTGGTTCGTCCCCCAGGCGGGTTTGTTCTCTCAGTCCTCGATCAGCAGAGAGGCACAGTGAGACCTGTGGTGTGGGGACTGGAAACTTTCATTTCAGGTGTGAACTAAGACCTGTTAATGTTGGGATGGACAATTTCCATTACTATTATGCAATATCTGAGTGAGTGAGAAAACCGAGTGAATTTAGTTGGGAAAATGTCAGTGCCATCTATCCCCTTATTCCACTGGAGGTCATGGGTGCAGGAGGTGAAACAGCAGCTACTTTGCTGCTTCAGCCTGCAAACTAGTGCTGTGGGAGAGCCAGCCTTTGGTAATTAACCATTAACCTTCCAGACTGAGCTGTAGCTCAGGTGTGTAACTCTGCTGCAGGTGGTGCTCAGCTGATTGTTGGGGATAATATTTTAAGCTGCTAAGCCCAAGGAAGCTTATTTTTTCAAGGCCAGATTTCTGTTTTAATGATTATAGTTCTGGAAATACCATGCTATTTTAAAGCCATTTAAAGCACTCTTTAAAACTAGAGTGTGTGAAAGGCAAGAGTTACCAGTATTTGATCCCACTTCGATTCTCTTGCTACATTTTTGAAGGCATCCTGGCACTAAGCTTACCTGTTTGTAAACTTCCTCAAACAGCCAGCAGGACTCCAAACCTGCAGTCAGTTTGTATGAGTCAGGCCCAAGCCATTAGAAATGTAGGAATAAATCTTTCAATGAAAACCAAAGTTTTACAAAATTATTCACAAGGTGAAAAGGTTTAGAAAAAATAGCATATGTGTTTAGTGTTCCAAATAAGATGAGCAGTACTTAAGGTCGTGACAAAGACCTGCACCAGGCAGAAGAAGTTAGATGATGTAAAGGTGGGAAATGAAATACAGGCTGTAGGGACCTACATCTTCATCCTTTAACATGTAGTAGTCAGATGGCAGTCGTCCTATTTTACATCCTTGAAAGGGCTGTTTTTCTTCTGGCATAAGAGCTTCCTGCTGTACTCTGTATTTCAGAGCTCAATTACAATAGAGGGGACTTTAATGATGTCCATTTGACAGCTGTGAAATTAAATCCTGTAAAACACATCAGGAAAGTCCACAGTTCTGTGTAATTTTGATGGTACTTTTAAAAATGTGATTCTTGTTGGAGTTGTTGGGGCGGTAGGCAAGGTCTGGATAAATCCAGCAGGAAAAAATACTGCACTTTGAAGGTTTTTTTCTGTAGGGTTAGTACAGTCTGAGCAGTTTTACAGGGTGTTTCTCTTGTGTGTGCTGGTCCAGCTTGATGCTGACTGAGGACTGGCTGCTAGAGAAAGCCTCAAGGCTGTCAGTGCTTGGTTTGTTTCCTGCTATGCATTTGTTTGGCCTAAAATTGCCTTCCTGCTTTTCCTGTCTTTTGCAGCTGTTTTTAATATAAATACTAGCCTTGATATTTAAAGAAAACACTGTGGCTTCCTTGAATGGGTGTAAACTGTCTGACTGCTTGAGACAGGGAGGAGGAGATGTGGTTGCATCACTGGTCTGGAATTTGGGACCTATTGGCTGCAGTGACACCTGTGTCCCAGGCTTCCTGTAGACAGCCCTGTCATTGAAGTGTGGGTTTTTATTTGTGGTTGGTTTTTTTTACTGTACTGAAGTATATTAAGTTGGATGAAGAATATTGTAGAAATGCAAGTTTTCCATGTAAAGTGAAGTTGGACAGGTTTTTGTACTGTGTCAGGAAGTAAACAAAAAGCAGTAGAGAATCACTGCTGTTCATTTAACAGCTGCCTTAAAAATGTTTAGTACATATTTCCCCCTGAAATATTTAGGGAGATGAAGGGATGCTGTTTGGTGGTGTGGGCTCTTAACTGCAAAAGGTTTGTAGTGGCTGGTTAGAAAATAAAGAAAATATACAGCACTGCAAAGACACTGAACACTTTACAAAGTAGAACTTATCAAAACCAACTGATTTATAGAAAGATGTACAAAATTTATTATACAGAAAAGTTTGGTAGAGATGAGGGAAGAGGAAAACTTGTGAATACAAACCCTTTTGCGTTTGAACTCAATAGAAATGCAGTTTGTGGCATAAATCTGGGTGGAGATTTCACATG